ACATTTGACTCACCCTGTATAAAATCAATCGTTATGAAATGTGTATTATATTGTAAAGACACTATACCACTTTGCCATTTTCTGCACATTTTTTGCAGCCAACATCCTAATTTACCCAAACTAGGATCTAGTCCAAAAATGGCGAAAGCTATTAATGATTGTCCGAAGTTCAAAGCCACATCTAGAAAGGCAAGCTCGGCATAAATGCCAGTTAGCTGTTCCATTATTAATGTTCCTATGGAAATCGACAAGCCCTGTAACATATTACATATATTGCAATTAATTTTACGATCTTAATGTTATCCAAATAAAGAAAATATTAATTTACATACAATAAACATGGAGCATAACAACAGAATAAGAAGAACCAGATGTCGCAAAATCTGGGGATCGTCATCTGCGTTTGTTCCATTTTCCTCCTCACAGCTATTTCCATCTTCAGCACCTGTGCATACTCCATTCGGACAACCATTTTGAAATTCACAGCCAATACTAAAAACATTGATATCAATATTAATTCTTCCTACATATGGTACATACTCTTGCTATGAATTAACTTACATAGGTGTTGCATTAACTAATGGAGAAACCAAGTCTTCTACATCTACTACAGCTCTTTCAGGAATTCCGGTTGTAGCATTTTCTGCATTGTTCCTCAGATATTCATATGACATGGTATGATGCCTTCTTTGATATCTCTGTTGCAAGACCAAACAACCTAATGTCACTGTGTACAGAAAAATGGTTGTTACATTTGCATACTTCTATAAGATTATAAAAATGATTCTTTATACAGCGACACAATAGAATAATAATAAGTTGAAAAGTAAACGTTGCTTGTACTAAAAATATAAATTAACACTTCTCATAGTATACCTATAAAGCTGAATATTAATACGGATGAAGAAACAGCAGCCTGAGACCTGCCTAGTTGAAAATTGGGATTTTGAAAATTAAGATCAGACGGATTTAACGTAACAGTGGTGCATGTTAATGCCACCAATAAAAGTGGCAGCCTGTAAATTAATATACATATTATATAATAAACATCGAGTATAGTAAAATACGTAATTTAAACTAAAGTAAGCTAATACATATGTTTACATACCCCCATCCAAGCGGATAAAACCATTTCTGTAAGTTTTCAACGAAAGACAACGAGCGTGAACTCAGAAATAGTAACGTTGCCGCAATTGCAGCTGTCCATATTCTGCTGGCATATACACCAGTGGTTATTAAAATAAATTGAATATACCTGTAATTAGACGAATGATTAATGAGAAAATTTTATTGGATAAAAGTTATCAAATAATCACTTAAAGTTTTATAATTACCACAATATTGTCTGATCGTTATTTGGATCAAGTTTGGACCACATTATCACACCTACTGCTATTGCAAGCTGAAAATAAATAGTAAAGACATGCATATAGTTGAAATAAGAAAAAATAAACTGAATACGTAGAACATACACTTGTAACTATATACCTGTGCAATCACGAGGCACAGAGTGCATCGGTGAGTGACTTGGTTGTACCTCTTGCGTCCAAATCCAAGGAAACATATCAACAACCATATGCAAGCTGCCGCTGACGCAACGCTCATATCGAAGGAAAAGATGTTGAGTTGCTGTGCATAACTAGCTGGTGTAATTCCGGCATAAACTGCATTGATCACTTTGGCCGACACAAACATGAGCGGAGCGGAGAGAAACGTACAAGCCACCATAGCCGACGCGATTAAGTCAATCTCAAGATTATATCGTAAAGTAAAGATAAACAGAGCCGGTGCCGTCGGGATGGTGCCGTACAAGAAACCGTACGTGCTCAAATCTCTCGTCTCTGTTACATTATCCCCAGCGTTCACGAGAATTATAGACTCCCTTATGACTAGAGGCAAGACTAGCAGCTTCACCGAGATCAATATGCCCGGTATGACCAATGCTGTACCTTTCAACTTGTGTATCTTCCCTACCATCATCAAACCGAGGAGGAACAACGCGCTAGCGGAGAAAGCATTGCCGAATACCTCGAGAATCGCGGCGAGCAAGTGCGGTACATCGTGACTGAATATAAGATTTCCTACAATGCCCAAGACCGTCATGAAAAGCACCGGGTTCAACACGACGCCCTTCACGATGGAGTAAACCATGTCTCTGAAACTTGTGTGCTCCTCCACGCGTCGTTTGCCGATCTCCAGTAATACAAAACCAATTGGGTTTAAAACCGCCAGCGATATGGGTGCCATCAGATAGAGATAAGCGGCGTACTCGGGGTGGGTTTTTCCATAAAGTGCGTAAACTGAAACAGCGATATTCAATGTGAGGCACATTGGACAACGCGGAACATTGTGAAATCGCGCACGAACGTCATCTTATTCTTACTCATCGGATATCCAATAGCGAAATCATTGCTCTGAGTGGTGAATATTGCGAAGAGCGCAGCGCGTCCAGGATTCGATGGCTTTTTAATTACCAACGAGACCGCAAGCACAGCGATAAAGACGCAGCTCTTAGCGAGCAGTACGGCGAGGAGAAATTTCCAGTTAACCAGGGTGAAGTCAAGTTTCGCCAGGGACATGAAAATTAAAGACGGCAAGGCAAAAGTGCCGACGAACGTATTCAGGCCATTCGCTTCCGTCTTCGTTATCACACCGAATCTGCCTGCTACATATCTGTAAGACATAAAGTCTTTATTTACTCAAAGTTATCACATAAGGACCCTAAGAATAATGCAGGGTACAGAAATTCAAGCACAAGGTGTCTCAGTGACTGAACTGACGAATATTTGTAAAATTCTTGCCTTGATCAGTGCAAAATAAAAAGAAATGAAATAATAAATGTCAATTGCAGTTTCAACGAAGTACTAATGTCGACTCTACATTGAACCGAAACACTAGAATCTTAATTACCGAGCAATACAGACTCAATGACTGTATGCTCGTTAAATATCTTAAATTTTTACAAGATCTTGAAAGCTATCTCAGCAACTTAAAAGTATTAAATACAAATGTATTATTAATGTTTCCATCGCATTCAATCACCGCAACATTTTCCTTGTTCAACCTAAAGTTTCTCAGGTTGAACAATCGGTAAATGTCCTCACCCGCATAGTATAATACCAAAGCACTGTATCAGAGCAAGATACAAGTTATCAGTTGGTTCACTCTCCGCATATTGATTTGCGTTTAATGACAAAGATGTCGATACGGTACTTCCTTCGTCAATCTAGTTGGGAGAAACATACAAGATAACATGTTTACATAACATTAACTCGAAGCGGCATAACAGCAACTTATATATCTGCAATTTGTATACCATTTTTGCCGCTATATAGAAAGTATTATCATCTTTTTAACGTATCGTTAGAGCTGTGAAACTGATCCACCTGCGCGATAAACTCATACAGCATCGTCCTCATATCTTCATTGATATCAGGAAGGAAATATCCACGGGATATTCCGGAGCGACCTGCAAGCAGAAATGTTTCTCAGCTTCGTCGAGTAATTCCGAAATCCATTCGCACTCGACTTCGACAGATTTAGAACGTCAGCGTTCAGAGAGCAGGGAAGATTAAAGATCCGCGGAGTGTGCGATCTGTCAGATACTTTTTTCGACATACACACGAAAACACACACGCGCGCAGAGCATGCAGTTTATGTAAGGCCGGGAAATGCCTCGTCGACGGAGAAGAGCCGATAAATTATCCGCACTCCCTTCTCCCCCCCCGACAGTCGTCCGTCCAAGTCCTCGCCAATTCCAACATATGTTTCAGAATCATGAACCAGACACTCGTCGCACTGATTATTACCTAAAATATCACTGCATGCGAGAAATATCGACTAATCGGGGATGCATGTTTCTGTTCTGGGGACGCGAGACGGAGGAACGGAAGGTGCCGCGCGAGCTGTCCAGATTTTGGCGGACCGTAAAATGAATGAAACCCCGTGCTGAAACCGGTGCAAAGTCCGGCGTAGCCATTCGCGACGAGTGCGAAGTCACGCACGACGCGAGGTGGGCGATTCTGCGCAGCCGCGAGTATTAAAGGGCCGCGACGGGGTTGCGAGGTGCGCGGCGATTGGCCCCGCGCGTCACGTGGACCCGGGTTTCGAATAATCCCGCGCCCGGCTACGACATTGTCGAGGTCAATCGGAGCACGATGACCGAGAGTTGTCGACTCTCTGATTACGGGCTCTCCAGCTGGTACCGGTGGTCCAGTTGCCACTGAAATCCACAAGCCGATCCTACTTCGGTGCTGGTCGAATTTAATTATTATTTCCACTGGAAAGGGAATACAAGTGAGCACAGTCAATCAATATTTCCCTCAACGGTGGTATCGCCCAATTTGGGAAACTCTGATTCAGGCGCTTATGAAGGCGATTATTCATGCGATATGCGGGTAAATTCACGCGAAAGCGTTAATCGTCCTGGATATACATTCATTTTTAATAATAAAATTAGACGATAAAATGGACAAACTAATTGATTAATCAATAGACAAATAAAATTGGATATTCGGGACGCAAAGTGTTGTACTATAAATCTGAAAAGTATTTAACACTAAACATGAAGGCTACGCTTTACCCTTGAAATATCGCGCGAGATCTATATTGCTCGAAACGGCCGTATCATCGTTCGCGCAAGATTAAAGAAGATTAAAGAAGAAAGTAATTAGATTTCATTGTACGCAGTTACCACACATGTTGATAAGATTTCTGTAGATCGCACAAAGACGAGCCGATAAAATGACCATCTCATAAATTTTCCAGAGTCCGATTACAAACGCAATTAATCGTAAAATCGATTGTGTCTTCAATTAATCTATATCTTATATTTATTTTTAATACGTGCAGAGATAAAAGATTTCACGAACTTGCAATTCTACAGACCTTCACCATTTTCACTCTTCGCCGCAGCTGTTTCCTGTTTCGATATTGATAAAGCAGATAGTTGAGAATAAAAATTAGATCTCGTCTATTACCCTGTTGATTCTCCTTATCTCATCAAGCCGCAACTTCTCTACGTGTTTACAAGTACAGACGTTTACGAAAATAAGTAAGCAACAACACACATTGCCTTCTTATTTTCGCAAGCACTCGATAACGAGAACAGCGCGGATATCTATGCGACGTAAAAGTGACTTATGTCGTTAGAAGCATCACAAACACTAGTCTATCTCAGATTAGATTAGACGCAATCTCAGCAATATATGTATAGATTGCAAATGCGCAATACGTTTGTACACGTTTAGTTATCTTAGTTAATTGCAAAGTTAATCGCGAGCATATTTAAAAAAAACATTACAACGTTTTACACAACGTGTTTTATTTTGGATTACACACGTGTACCAAATGGACGCGCCCTTCAAACACGAACTGTTATACAAAACTACTTTTATGCTAAATAAAGTGTTTGTAAAAAATATTTCAATAGATTGAAACAAATTTTGCATCAAAATGTTCCGGTATTGAATCCAATAAAAAAATATAAAGTAATTATATCATAATATAAACGTGTAATTGAATTCTGATATAAAAAGTGCTTAAGCAAATATAAAATACGTTGATATTTTATAATTTTGTAAAAACGTCTTGAAAAAATATTGAAATCATGAAATTGCACCGACATTACAGTGCGCTCACGCGCACGCTTTCCGCTCGACGACGCAACGAAATTGCGCTGCAATTTTATAGATTTTTGCAGCGAGTTCTGTAGCGATTTCTTGCGCTACTTCATTTCTCATATGCAACCTTTTCCTCGGGCTGTATAATTTCCTCATGATCACCTCGCACGTATGTATCAGACATTGCTCGATCACGCCGACGCGTGCTCTTTCGCGCTTACGTAAGCAGGCCGGTGTAAAATTGCGATCGCCAAATACCTCGACGTACGCGAAGTGTGTCCTGCTGACTGCCGAGATCGCGCATTTTTCGCCAAGTTTACATCCGGTCTGTTCGACCGTTCTTCATTTCTCAAATGGCATTGTATTCGGCCGCGTTCCACCTCGGTCAATAATGCGGGGGGAGGAAACCGCATTTGTGCAAATTAACTCATGATTGTCCATAGCTAACAGCATATATAATATAAGTTTGGTTTACAGCAGGTTTGAGCAGGTAAAATAATCCAATGTAAATTACACGTACGGTTTCAGACATAAAATACTAAGACGTGAGATACTTGATATTTTACGTCTCTACATGCTGTAACATTTTACAGTACATAGCTTTCTACACGCCGTAAAATGTAATACATTAAACTGTATCTGCTCTTTAGGCTAAAACTTTATGCCGATTGTTGTCGTTGTCGCATCATATCGCATGTGACAATAATAATTAAAGGTTCACTGCTTTGTAAGGCGTATCACATAAAGAGGTCTAAAATTTGCCAAATATCCCAACCTTGACCTATGATCGATAAAATCGAATCGCGTGAGAAGTGTTTTTGGCTTATTAATAGGAGCCTTACAGAAATGTAAGCGAAATAACCACCAAAGAATTACTGTACATCGGTAATTTCTAATGATTCATTTATTCAACTCCAGTAATTATTCGGTGCTTTTTCGTTCCCAGTAATTTCTGTAAAGGAGAGAAGGCCATGTTTTTAGCCAGAATATTTTTTCTGCACCAATTCCCGTTTTCCACGCGTTCAGAATATGCCCGAAGCCGCTCGGTACACACCCTGTGGTATATTTCGTCGTGTAACTGTAATACTACGCCGATCCGAGGGTATTTTAAGCCGAAATTACCCAGCGAGATCGAACGGGGAAGCGCGAGAGTATCGTTTTGTATATTTACGCGATCGTCACGACAAACAATTAATGCGCGTACATGTGTGTGCGCGTGTATCTATGCGAATGATAAACATATCGGTTTACGTCACTGGCATGAGTCATAATATTATCGAATGAAACACGGTACGAAGAACCGCATTATCAATCACCGGCGGTGGGCGCTTTAATTAATTGCTTCTGGATAATGAGCGATTTTACATTATTATATAATTATATTATATTATAATTTACAGCGCGGGTCATTATTGCCTTACTGCGCGATTTAGGCGTCTCGGGGCACAATTGCAAAAGCTGTATACATTACATCGCGACTATCTCAATTTAGATAATCAGATTATATTAAAAAATAACTTCACATAAAAAATGCTCGGGAGAAATTTTGTACGCAAAAATAATTATTATGTAATTACATGTAAAATCGCTATAGTTATATTGCTTGCTCTAACCGGCATTTTTTAAGCAACAAAACACAAATTTTCCAACTGTGTATAAAATACGTGCGTGTACTTTCTTCCACCTGTATCAGCTCTGACATATTTTTTATGCGCATACCTGCATTACATAAGATCTTTATTATATAAAATTATAGAAGTCAACAAACGTAGCGCAATCATGACAACGCGTCTGCCGCATAGCAAAGTGAAATAACGTTAAATCCGTCGATGACGTGGCGCGTGTAAGTTGGCGAAACGCTCCGAGACGCCGAGACGCTCTTGCGCAATATTGCAAAGGGACGTTTTCCGTACATATCGGTTCGAAAATACCGATGGACAATTAGGCAGAAATGCGCCGTAAAAGACGCGTAAACGTAATATGCGCGGCGCACGGCGGCGGAGAACGCGGGGCGATTGGTTCACGTCCAATTCTCATGTGCGAATGGCGTTACTGCGCCGTAGGTTCTAATCGGGTCATATAATAATCACGTGGACGATAGTCGCATTTAACGCAGGCACGGCCTGCGTTTCTTTGTCTGTGCGAGAGGCCGGCGATGTCGCCGAGAGCCCGTCATCGATCTACCGAGATTACGAATGTCGCGAAACGGGGCGAGCGCGCGGAAAGAATCGCTGACATTCAGATGAGCATTTCGAAATCCACACCAACCGTCCATAAGTAACGTCCATAAGTAACATCGCGTCGCTTCCTGCATTTAAGCCCAATCTACAACTGCGCTTTTTAATGGAGCAATTTTAGTGGAGTATTTTTATAAGTACTCCCCGCTAAGAAATCTTTTATGCATTAATATATAGATGGGCTCCTAATACGTTTTCAACACCCAAATCCAATCATATCCAATTTTCCCCTAAGTAGATTTCACTCCAAGGACAATAAATTCACGATAGAACCAACTGATGATGCCTATCAATTTGATGCTTATCAATCCCATATTAGGATCCTACCGCGTAAAGGCCGAATCAGACTAGCAATTGCAGACGCGGATTGGATTGGGATTGGCGACTGACGACCGTCCTCTAGCCAATGAGAGCAAAGCAGCCAGCGATTTAATCGACTCTCGTTGGCTAGAAGACAATCGCCAATTGCCAATCCCAATCCAATCCGCGTCGGCAATTGCTAGTCTGATTCGGCCTTAATGCTCGTATCACACTAGCGACTCGCGACCGCGATTGCGATTGCATCGGCGATTGTGATTGGCTAGGCGGCCAAAAACATTTGAAATAGCCAATCGTAATCGCCGATGCAATCGCAATCGCAGTCGCGAGTCGCTAGTGTGATACGAGCATAACAGAGGATTTTCCTCTAATAGCGCGAATTCGTCGGACGAGACAGTTTGTGTTATCCACGTGCTTGAAGTTTGGCAATAAGCTGGCATTCGCAATCGCACGACCGTCCGTGACGTTCTCGGCACGAAGGCAAAAGTTATTCCCGCGAAGGTTTGCGCAACGCAGCGGCGGCGTACGATAGCGGTCGCTCGTTTGCGACTTATCGTTTTGGCAATTTTCTAGCGATGAGACCGCCTATTAAAATTTTCCACCGGTGACCGCCGCGCCTCGCGCTAATTGAAGCCGCGTAATCGCGCGGCCGCGGACCGAGGACGTGTAGCCCGGTTTTCCCGCCCGCGAGGATCGATTGAAACGACCAAGTTCGACGGTGAAAAAATTTTTCCCTCCCTCCCCCCCCCCGCCCGCCCGTCCTCTCGTTCCGCGAAACGTGCGGGAGTCCGTGCCTCGGGTTCGACTGACGCGTAGAGCTGGCACTGCGGGGCATTTACGTCG